CAGCAAAACCACTGAGCTAAATCCCCGGCCCTATATACTTTTTTGATACACTGGGCTTGTCTTTTACAGTTATTATGTCTAGCATAACATGTAAAACCAATTTCATGAAACATTATTTCAAGGTACTACTGTACATGTTTTTAGGAAAACTATATAGAAGCAAGTATCACTGAAGACTGAAGAAGTCAAGAAAAACCATACAGGGCTTGGGATGTAGCTCAGGGGTGCCGCCACCTGCCTCACAAGTACAAGGTCCTGAGTTCGATCACTGGTACCAAAAAAGAAAAAGAAAGACCATATATATAAGACAACCGTAGCTTTTAAAGGACTAAGCTGGTGAGAGGTAGAAATAAGACAAATGTATTCTAAGTAAGGGTGACAACATAATAGTCTGGAAGGCACAAAGAGACAGGTATGAAACATAGTGTAGTACAAAGAAAGATTGGTGTAGAACAGAGGTTTTTACATGACACGTGCCATTTTGTTTTGTTTTGTTTTTTGAGGCAGAGTCTCCCTTTGTAGTTCAGGGTGGCCCTGAACTCACTATGTAGCCCAGGCTGGCCTCGAACTCATAGCAATCCTCCTGCCTCAACCTCCTTAGTACTGAGATTACAAGTGTGCACCACCACCCCTGGCTCAACATGACATTTTCAAAAGCTCTTGGTAAGATATTAAAAAGAATTTTTTTTAAAAGTATTTATATCCCCACCTCTCTCACAATGTCTAAAAAATATTCTACCTCTGTTTGGCTCCAGATTTTTTATTTCTCTTCATCAGGATAATAGGTACAAACCAAAAAAATTACAAGCCTAGGAATTTTTACATTGGAAGGAAAAAGAATTTTGAAAAAAGAAAAAAAATAGATCCCAAAAGCCCAAGCAGAGGAAAAGGAGTTCAGAAACAAGTCATCTTATTTTAGAGAATGTGTATTTTGTTTGATAATAAATCAGACAATATTCTGAAGAACAACAGTCATTGTGGAGAATACAAAGGGCAAACCTGGGAAAAAAAAGAATTTAAGATGTTCTGCTAAGTAATAAGAATAGATGCTTGCTGGGCCAGGGATGTAGCTCAGTGGCACTGTGCCTGCCTGGCAAGCAGGCAAGCACAAGGTCCTGAGTTGGTTCCCCAATACAAAAAAAAAAAAAAATAGATGCTTGTTGAAGACTGAATTCGCCAGCCTTGTGCAAGCTAAGCACATTCTCTACCTCAGAGCTATATCTCTGGCCTCTAAGAATAGAATCTTAACAATACTAAATCAACTGGTTGACAGTAGTTACTTGATATACATGGCAAGGACAAGTGCATCTTAAATATTGTACATATTAAATGTCAACAAAGAAAAATAATGGCCCTATCATATAACACGAGAAGCAGAGTGTTGAAACGGATATATACAGCCAACTTTTGTTTTTGCTTTATTTTGTTTTTCTTTTCTTTTTTTTTTAATTCATTAAGTTTATTGGTACATTTTAAGTATACAGTACAGTTACATTCATCACTGGGATCTTGTACCTGTATATGATGTATCTTGGTTCTTATTTTTTCCCCCTGCCCCTGCCCGCCCTTCACCCCCTCCACCCCTTCCTATTTACAAACACTGTTTCCATTTTTTCCTTTTCTCATATTTTTTCCTTTCCCTTCTTTCCTTTCCCCTACCCCTCCCACTTTCCCTATCCCTTTAGACCTTTTCTTCCTATTTCACAATATCAATTATACATTTTGATCCTTATTTACACTTTCAGTTTCTCACACCAGAGATCTATTCAGTATTTACACGTGTGTCCTATTTATTTAAGAGTATCGCCTCAATGTGCATCCATTTAGCTATAAATGTCTCTAGTTTCTTATTCTTTATGGCTGAGTAGTACTCCATTTTATAGAAAAACCCCATCTTCTTTATCCAGTCTCCAGCTGATGAGCAATTGGGCTGTTTCCAAGCTTTAGTTATTACAAACTGTGCTGTTATAAACATGGGTCCACATATATTGGTGTGGTATGATTCTTTTAATTCTTTTGGGAAGATACCCAGCAGGGGAATAGCTCAGTCAAATGGGACCTCTAGTCCTAGTTCTTTGAGGTATCTCCATACTGATTTCCACAGTGGTTGCACCAGTCTGCACTCCCACCAACAGTGGAGAAGGGTTCCTTTCTCCCCACAACCCCGCCAACATTTGTTACTGGTTGATTTCATGATAGCAGCCATTCTTTCTGGGGTGAGGTGGAATCTCAGTGTTGTTTTCATCTGCATCTCTTGAATGATCAGTGATGTTGAACATTTTTTCATATGTTTATTTGCTGCTTTTACTTCTTTGTCTGAGAAATGTCTGTTCATTTCAGATGCCCAGTTTTGGATTGGGTCTTTGAATTTGGGGGGTCTGATTTTTTTCAGTTCTTGATATATTCTAGATAGTAGTCCTTTGTGTGAGGGACAGCTAAAAATTTTTTCCCACATTGTAAGTTGTCTCTTAGCTCTGTTGGTGGTTTCTCTTGCAGTGCAGAAGCTTTTTAATAAGATGAGATCCCAGTTGTTGATTCTTTGTGCTAGTTCCCTTGCTACTGAGGCTTTGTTCATAAAGTCTTTTCCTTTGCCAGTGTCTTCAAGAGTTCTACCTATCTTATCTTCCTGCAAGTTTAGTGTTTCTATTTTAAAATCTAGATCTTTAATCCACTTCAATTTTAGTTTAGTGCATGGTGATAGGTATGGGTCTAGTTTTAATCTATGGCAGGTTGAAATCCAGTTTTTCCAACACCATTAAATAGGCTAGCTTTCCTCCAGTGAAGACGGTTGGCTCCTTTGTCAAAGATGAGACACCAGTGTATTTTCAACGACACAGAAGCAGATATTCCTCCTCCAAGGCTTCTTAGTCTTTCTGACTCCATCAGAAAGAAAGCCTCCATTTGGTTCTTCTCTGTCTTCAGCACCTCTTTACATTTGCTAATCTTCTTTTTAAGAAAGCGGGGCTGGCCTTGAGCCTGACAGAGAAGGTGAGACCTACTAGAATTTAATAAGCAAAACAATAAAATATAACCTTACTCTGAGAGTCACCAAGTTTTGCCCTTGTGAGCCAGATACTTTCCTATTCCTTAATTTTAAAAAAAGCTTACTTTTAGGGCCGGGGATTTAGCTCAGTGGTTCCGGCGCCTGCCTTGCAAGCGCAAGGTCCAGAGTTTGATCCCCGGTACCAAAACAAAATTTAAAAATTTTTTAAAAATTAAAAAAGTTTGCTTTTAAAAATGTTTTCCTTGATAGTTTTCCATTTATAGTCATGAAGTCTCCTTTTCAGACAAACTGAAGTAAAAATGTGAATCAGTTTAAAGGACAATATGGCATAAATAGCACATGCCATAAATATGAGAAAATGGCAAAAACAAAACAAAATGAATGGCTACGGACTAAGAAGTTAGGGAAGTACTGTCCTAGAACAATGGTCCTGTCTAGAATGTTCTAGAAACATTCTAGAATCATGAGGAAAGGCACCACTGAAATATTCTGATTTATTGACCATTGATGAGCTACCTGAACTGTTTAAAAGCTTACCAGAAACCATGTTTTCTAAACCCATCCAATTCATCCAAAAGACTTGCAGCAGCTACTAAAATATTCAAAGAAACCATTTCCAACAGTGCTAGGGAGGAAAGGGACCAAGGGCTCTCCACTCTGTCTGAATGAACTTCCTGTAAGGATGGACAGGCTCATACCTGTTGTTCAATGTAGAAGCCATAGTCAAGGTAGCTAAATAAACACTTGATGTAGCCGGTGTAACTTTTGAATTTTTAAATGAATATAAATTATAACTGAAATAGCTGCCTGTGGCTGCTGCATGTTGAGAGATGTTGCTATAGGTCTGTCATGTTCTTTGGGCCCTCCTGGCTATCAGGCTTTCTTCTCTCAGTCCCAGCTCCCACATGGGTGCTTTCATAGCTCTGTGAGAAGGACAGTCAAGACAATCTGATTATACCTCAAGTTCAGTCTCCCACCTGTTGATATCATCAGTGGATTGATTTAGCTTTTCCAGTTCACCTGCATCCGGGGGTCCTCCTCCTCCTCCCCCCTCCCCCTCCTCCTCCCCCCTCCCCCTCCCTGTCCTGGGCTGGCGGCAGTGGCAGCTCAGCCGGCTCCTCTGGCTTCAGAGCCCTGTCCATGGGGGTGGCCGGGCATCCCTAGGGGTCGTGGCCTGCGCGGGCTGGGTCGCTCCCGCTGTGGATCACTTGGGCCTTGGCAACGGGCGAAGGAAAAAAAACTATTTTGTTTTTCTGAGATGATGTTTCACTATGTTGACCAGGCTGGTTTCAAACAGGGGCTCAAGTGATCTCTTGCCTCACCTTCCAGAGTAGTTAGGACAACAGGCATGTACCACCATACCTGGCAAAAGCCATACCTGGCAAATCTTCATATTTTGCCACATAGAGACTTCTACAAAATATGCATAAGGCTTCTACATTAACAATATGTTCTCCTCTATTTTAGGATATATTACTGGGATTTTTAAATTTAAAAAAAAAAACCTTTTCTCTATTTCTTGGTATCTTTTAAGTGAAACAATGAACAAAATTAAATTTAAGTTTGAAATATAAATGGCATTCCTAATGATCACTAAAACCTGTACTTACGACGGTCGGTCCTCAAGAATCAGGGCAGTGGTAGAAAGTGGCTCAAATTCAAAATTTTTACGTCTTGAAGACTGAGTTGATGGTTTACAGGTCCTTCCTGTTCGTGCTTCATATTCCTAGAGTACATAAGAGAATATATAGTTTATGTAGAGACTTTTCCAATTTTAAATTCATATTATTAAACCTGTAACTATAATAAGGAATGCGTAAAAGTCATACAATAATTTGGTAAAAATATTAGGAAGACAAAAAATAATTTTCCTGGAATACCTAAATTATGAATTTATGTTACATGCTAAGTATGTTAGGAAAAGGAAGTACAAAAGTGTAGGAGATTTATTATGAAAGGTTTTAGGGACATCTTTTTTACTGTCTTCTATAGTATCAGCTATCCAAGCTCAGCTTTAAGAAGCTACAAGCAGATAAACCTACTTTCTGAGTTTTTAGCCAAATTAGCAATGGAAAGATTGAGACAGGACAGGGACAATCCCCTTGTAATGTTCTGAAGATCTCTCTCAAGGGTGACATTAATCAAAATAGTAGTTTTGGATTTAAATCTATTATAAATCTAACTACAACAAATATACTTATTCTAAATGTAAATACTTTATTAATATATATTATCAAAAATATGGCCAAAAACTTTCCTCAAACTAAGAAATGTTTTTAATATTTCTTTAATTCACCACACTTGATAATCCTATTAACAGAAATGAAGTTCATCTGACATAATATGTTCTTGGTAGACATATTTAAATGTCTCATTTGAGCATTCTTTAATAAATGTTCATAACTTTCTTTCTAGAAATTTGCCAAAGAGTAGTAACAAGTTTACTGTGTTGTAATTTCTAGAACCCACATTCTTCCCTTTCTAAAACACCAAGCTAGCATCTCATCATCTCCAGGTGCCAATTAAATTTTCATGAAATTTTCAGGAATTATTCAACAATTTCATGAGTTATGCAAGTCCGCTGGCAGTCAGAGCAGATATTAACAATGAAACAGCTATTATGACAATTTAAATGAATGAGATTGGTAAAATTCACTGAAAGACTCATGGGGGAATGGAGTATAGCTCAGGGGTATACCACTTGCCTAGCACATGCAAGGCCCTGGACTGGTTCCACAGCAAAGAAAAAAACGCAGGGACAATATCTGAATCATGCTGATCCATCTAAATATTACAAAAAGAGATCACCAAACAGTATGCATTTTGTATATGATGTAATATGAAATATATAGCACCAATTCCTGAAATACGCCCCCATATCAAAAAAATACCATGAATCCTGTAGAACTGTGCTCTCCAACAAGGTAATCAAAAGAAATGATAATCAAATTAAGTTATATATTTTTAAATAATGCAAAGAAAACTTGGAGGATTCTGAACTATTAAAATGTTCTTTTCTGAAAGACTGGACTAGAAATGAGAACTTTTGTTTTACAGTAACTTATTCAGTATTGTTTGACTTTTGTCTGAAAAAAAAAGTACTTTGTAAGAGAAATCACTTGTAGTCATGGTAGATATATGACAAAAATCTTACTAAACAGGTGGATCAGAACTGAGGCAAAAACTATGGAAAAATAAGTAGAAAGGATTGAAAGAAGCAAGCCAGTGGAGTAAGCACAGGGAAAGATCAAGAAAACAGTCTCACTGAAGTAAAGGAAAAGTTAGACTTCATCATGAACAAGACAAGACAGAGAACCACTGAAAGTCTGGATAAAACCAAGCTTTGATGAAAGTAGTCCTTCATTAAAACTTAACTCTATAGACCAGGGATGGTGGCACACACCTGTAATCCCAGCCTTTTGGGAGGCTAAGGCAGCAGAATCACAAGTTGAAGCCCAGCCTGGGCAATTTAGTGAAACCCCATCTCAAAACAAAAAATAAGAAAGGACTAAGGATGTAGCTCAGAGAAAACACCCTGGGTTCAATCCTCAGTATCACAAACCAAAAACTAAATAAGTATAATTTAATATCAAGTGCAATTCAAAATGAAGCAACCAGAATACCATTATGTATTTACCTGAGAAATGAACTTTGTATAATATTGTCACTCAACCTGAGAGAGGAGACCACCCCTCCATATGGAATTGGGTAACTATAGGTTAATTGTATTTTAAGCAACTATGGATGAATTAGGTAACTATGCTCTCTGTAGAATGTACCTGAGTAGCCATGACAACTTCTGTAATCTGTCTCCAAAGGAGCTCAGAAAGTCCTTCTGGAACTCTTCATTCTCCTCCTCTCCACTGCTCTGCTTTGTGTAAATCCTGCTTGCTATATTCCCAAGGAAACGCCAATGGAATTAAGCTTCATAGATGTAAAAAGAGGTATATAAAGAAGCACAAACTTCTATTCAGGCTCTCGAGACTGACAGGAGTTACTTGCTGAGTCACCAGCATAAAAAGCTGCTTTTTGCTCCTAAATTTGTGTTAAAGAGTGGTCTGTTCGGAACACTCATTTTCAAGAAGTTGTGTTCTAGCATTTCTCAATAGTGATTCTTATAATAAATTGCTCAAAAAAGAGGGTTATTTAGTGTTTAATTTCCATCTACATTCCTAAGGAAAATTTTTTTTTTTCAGAAACCATATGGTAAGACTGGAAAAAATGGAAACAAAGTCTTTGTAAAAAGGGAAGGGAGCACAGGGAATGGGGAAAAAATAAGAATCAAGATACATCACATAGAGGTACAAGCACCCAATGATAAATGTAAACATATCGTTAAAGGTCCCTTTACATTTAGATTTTATTTACACAATCACTTCTTGGCCTTTTGGTTAAGATCAAGTGTAGATTTTATTCACACAAGGCTAATGGATTAAGCTGGAAATAATTTATTTTCCTCTTGCCTTGCCTCTGCAAGAATACAAACAAATGGCAAGGATGGAAGAAAATATGGTATCATTTTTGGTCATTAAAATTTCCCTTCTTCATAAACAAAAGCAAGATAATGGAAAAAAGTTAAAAGTAAACAGTGATGTACACAAAGAAACTTCTAATGCTCTATAAAAACATCAGAAAATAAAACTTGATCACTAGAATAAAAATACAGTCAGAATCCAGGCAGGGCCAGTGTCCTTTGCCTAAGAATGTGATGATAAAAGGGTTTTGTCAAAAGATGGTGTATGACAAGTTTCGCTTCTGTCATTTCAGAGAATTTAGCATTCTTTCAGCTCTCACTGCTTTTAACCTGCCAGGTAACTTGAAATGAGTAGTTATACTTTCTATATAAATTA